GTTATTTTGTTTAATATGGCAAATAGTTCCTAGCTGGCTATTAATGATGGCATTAATCATCATTTCTTCTAAATTGTTAGGACAAATGGACTATTAATATCTGTGCCCAAATATTCTTCCAACAGCTCTACGATGATCAACTAGGCATTCTTGATTTAAAATTATTCATTAATTCTGCCGAATACATTTTAGCCTTGCTTTTATTGTACACTGAAGCTCTGCAAAGAAAACGTAACTTTTCTGACTTTTAAATTTAATGTAGCCCTTTAATTGATTTGTTTTCAAATTTCAGTACATGTAACGTTAGTGTAAATAAATTAGTTGTTTAAATTACTGTGATTCCTTCCCTCTTTCTGCCCAGAAAGCACATACTGATTCTAAAGGTAATTTTTATGGAGCTTTTAATTTGCCATGAAAGTTTGGTGACATCATATAGTGCAATATATGCAGTCAATTTCAAATATACCTTTTGGAAATGCCAAAATATTTGATACATCACACAAACAAAATGAAACTAGTTTCTGTAAGGATAATTACACCCAGATCAGCTCACTGTGAACCGTCGTGTCAGGATAAACTTGCTGCTGCATGCCGTGGAATGCCCTGAGCGTGGGGGCGGTGCAGTTTGGATGCATCTCCTATGTTACTGCTCCTCAAGTGGAACGAAAGTTACACAGCTTAACATGACAGCATTGGCTATCGAGCAAAACTACTTGATCTATTTACACTCTTTAGAAACATTCTCCCATTTTATGAGAAAAAAATGTGTAACCATGAAATAGAATACATGTTCACCTCACAGAAAGTTTACAATGTCTAATCACAGAGCGCAATATTTTACTGAATTACTTTGGAATATTTTCTACTACTACAGAAAGGGCATATTGTGTTTCAGTTGGCATTGGGAAAAGAAGATTATCTGCTACATAAAGCATAGAAAATAAACCATCCTAGCAGCTATGAAGTACATTTAATTTTACAAAACTCAGAAGACTTCAGGTAGGCACATTATTACTCAAACTGACTGTTCAGTACTTGAAATGTTAATTTTTTTTATTATTATTTACTGTACTGCCAAAAGGGCTTTCATTGTAATGAAGTTTAGTGTGCCATTTATGTACTTAAAGTGCTTGTCACAAGCTGCTATTATGAGTGCACTATTGTACAATTAAATTAACTCTGTTTTCAGGAGCTACACACAATAGGTAACTCACAAAAAGATTAGTCGACTGTGAGAGTCATACAGCCAACTCCCACCTGAGCCGTCAGGCAATGTGTTTTATAAAGTGAGTCTGACTACTGACCCTTGATATATATCGATATCTACCTGCATCAGCACATACCCCAGCACACCTGGCAGCCCAGAACTGAATCCAACTCAATTGGTAATGCCACAGATGGAAAGTTAGCTGCAATGCTGAATCTGTTTGTATGGGAGGCTGAACAGCCCAGTGGCTTCTTCAGAAAAACCTGTGCATGTTACAGCATGAAACAAAAGTAAGAAGATATAACTGAAACCTGACATGGTTTTTCCCAGTCTATCATCTCCAATCTTGTACTATATAACATGGGTAAAAATATTTAATACTTACATGTAACACTAATCATGTTTCATTTCAGGCTCTTAAGATGTTTGAAAGTGTACAGGACACCACGAAAGATCTTAGAAGTGCCGAGCACAATATCCATTTATAAAACTAATTATGAGAAGAAATAATTTTAACAGGTAAGTAACCTACAGGTACACAAATATAAAGCCCTATTGGAATCCAGGGCTGCCGCTGATCTAGTTCTTCCTGCACTCATTACATACAATTGCTTCATATCTGCAGATCTGCTCTTATTCTCACCTTTCACACATCTCTTCAGAGAGCAAAACAGCCAACTACTGTGTGTCGCTCACACTTACAATATAGTTGTAATACAGGCAGGCAACAGACAAACAAACCTAAACTACAAGTACCTTCTGTTTCTTTTGCTTTGTTCATGTGTACAAAGCAACACACTCATTTCCTAAGGACTAGCAGTAACAGAATGAACCATGCTTCCGAAATGAGAGTACTTCTCAGGCACACTCAAGTAGGTGACAGTCTGATCACCAGTGCCTACCTCCAGACGAGTACACCCAGGTGTGTATCTGCACAGCCTGCACTCCATACTGTGCTAGTGTTCGGGCTCACGGCCACGAAGGCTGCCTGAGCAACTACGTGTACTAGCTGCAGAGAAGTTTAAGCTGATTTAAGGTACTGAGGTCGCATGTCCCCATTCCCTCACCAGCTGTTACCACCACTTCCCTTGGGCTGGCACTTGTGCAACGGGGTGATGAGCTGGCTCAAAGGGATGACTTGACTGGCACACAGAACAGCTTGAAGTCCAAGCTGCAACCAAGACAGGCGCATGCTGCCACTAAGTACCTGGGACTTCATGTCGGCATCTCGTTTGCAAAGCAGCACCACCGCCAGGCCAATGCCAGCTTCCAGGAATCTAGTTTAGAAGTGGGTAAATCAGAGGCATTGCTACGACCACTGAGGTCAACAAAACCTTCAGCTGGACCTCTGAAATGAAATGCTCCCAAATGTTTTAGCCACATTAAAGAAGATTAAAGCACTAATTTTGAAACAAAGCATTGTCCGTTTCCTCAGGGACAGAAAACTTGAACGAAAGATAAAAATAAAAAGGCACGTGCATCTTATGCTTTAGTTTTGCTTGCTTTTTTAGTTTTTGTCATAGTTTTGTTTGTTTTTCTTTTTAATATAAGACTATCGGACAATTCTTGTATCTGGCTAGGAAAAACATCATCTTGCTCTCTAAACATGTAACTTCTCTGTGTTTCAGGGAGCAGGCTGTTAGTTGTCCATGACCAGGCTCTCAACACAACATTCAGTTTCCAAGCCTTTTCTCCATGCCCTCTTCATGTTTATTTAGGTTCTTGTCAGCCTTAGAAAAACATTTACATCACCTAGTCTAGGGAAACACATGTACCTTTTTATGGCTATAAATTTTGTTGCTATATTTGTGTCTGCTCTGATACTGATCTAAGAGGTTGTTTTACTTTGATTCTTTCAACAACTCTAACTCCACTGGAAGCAACTGGTGGTGAAGAAATGAAAGCATCTAATTCAAATATAGATTATTTTCCCAGCTTCTTACACATCTCTTAAAAGGAATATCCACATTAAAGAATAAGTCAAAAAATTAACCAAGGACACATACATCTCAGAACATATCGTCTAAACCAAGTTTTAATCCCACGTCCCTCAGTAAAAAAGTAATGCGGCATAGCACTCCCACCTATACTGAACCAGGCAGAGCTGGGATAAGAAAGTTTAGAAAAACAAGAACAGTGGTCAGAACACAGAGGTGTCTAAGAATTAAGAATAAAATTAGGCTTTAATTTTTAATGTGTAAAATATTTTATTAATAACTACAGAAAATTTATGACCCAGAACACAAGAGCTTGAAGTTTATCTAGATTCACAAATGTACTTGTACCAAACTACACTACAAGCCAACTTATGTGGTGCTAGTATTTTCTCCCCCCAAACTTTCATCGTTTTTTTAAATACAAATAAACATAATTTAGCCATAAGGAAGCAACCAAAAGAAGAAATGACTCCACGATGCTATAGACTATGTTTTCCATCTTGGTAAATGATAGTATTTGATAGAAGTATAGGATCTAACCTATTGTGTACATACTGGTAATTGTACATTATTTCAAAAACTACACAATTGTGGGATAAGCTAACTCTGATGTTCTTTGTGAAATTCTTGGGACCTGGGGTGTAGAAAAACCTTTTCATTTGTATTACTCAGGCAATTCACTGAAAATGAACATTCAAGACTGAATGAAGGGTGGCTGGAGGCATAAAATAACTGAGGATTTTTACTTATTCTTCCATAGGAATTTAACTTTTTTAGCTTTCAAAACAAAATCTGAGCAACAGCTGGAGAAATATGCAGATCCAAAGGGAAGGTAGGCAAGCATGAAGAGTATAAAACAGTCATCTTGTCCAAGGAATATTTTTGAATATTACAAAGTTTCTTAAAAGTTCTCATGCTAGTAACAATACTGTCAAATGACAACTCAGGTCAAGTAGTTTGATGCATAAAAGCCAGCTCTCTCAGCTGGCTTACACTGGATTTTAAAAAATTATTTTAAAATAATTGCCTCCTGTTTCTTAAGCTTTTGTAGGAAAACCTTTACATTTAACTTGCAGAAGTATTTATTATAGCCACAGGAGGAAACATTTCAGAATGATACCCCAGTTTACTGCTGAAAGAATGTAGAAAGAAAAGTATTTAAGGCCAGAAATTATGCTGTAAACCAAAATGCAGATATAAATGTTTCATAAGAGAACACATTGTTATCAAGGCTTTCAGAATCAAGAGCTACCAATCATTTAATATGCTTGAGATGAATGAGTGCTTTTAGAGTTAAGAAGTGTACTAAGGAATAAAAAGAAAAGAATACTAGTTAAAGCTGAAATATTAACAAAATGCTTTGCTATTGTTACTGTATGTAAAATATATCAGGTATGTTTCACACTATTTAAATATGCTAACAATACACTTATAGCAAGATGTTCCCTGAAAACAAAATATAAAACCAGAAAGTATTTCAGAAAAGCTGGATGAAACTCGATAGTTAAATCAGGAAAAAAAAATTGGATTACTGCATTTAGCTAGCACTGTTACTTTTGTACAAATATGTATAAGTCTACTGTATTTCTCTTTGGCTGAATCTTAAAAACAAACTTCAACATATTTAAAGATAAATTAAAGCTTTACATACACTATATTAAAATGTAATCAATGATTAGAGAGGCCTCTTTAAAGAGTCCCATAACTCTTTACAGCAAATCTGCATTTTTTTAATACTTCAGATATTAATGGAAGGTGAACAGCTATCAGTGAAAATATGTATCTAGGACATAAGCACTGCTAAAAAGCCCTTTAATTTATGGGACATATGAAAGTAAAGTCATCAGGACTTGTACCTTGTGCTGGCGATACTTGGTGATTCTGCTCCAAGCCTACATCTTTCTAGCTGATTAGCCACAATTTGCCTTTCCACTTCCAGTTCTCTGGTAAGTCTTTGAAATTGGAGCTCCTGAAATTTCAAAATAAAAAGAAAAGCGTTCTTGACGTTAAAAAAATGGGTGTGGATTAATTCTGAAACAATCACTGTTTCGTCACAATCATGTTTCTTGTTTTGACTCTTCCGTGGTGGAATAAAGTATTAGGAGATTAAAGTGGGAATTTAACGGTTCTTTAAATCAGTGATTCATGCAAATACTGATTTATCACCTGTTACAAAAGGAAAAACATGTTTAAGCATTTGTGGATTTTATTCCTCCTGCAATTAAATTTTTAAATCTGTTTATGTTGCCACAATCTAACAAAATTTATGCCCATAAAGTCAATCTTCAATTTCATCTATAACAAAGATATACTGGAAAATATTGTATCCTAACCTTTCCAATTGCAAAACTTCAAATCCTAAGCTATGCTATGTTCTTCATATTCAAAAACTTAAAATGTATTATTTCAAACTGGATGAGGGTAGAGATATGCTATTTCTCTGATTTCAGCTTTTGTTATATTTCTTGGTCAAAGGTACCAAACCTCAGCCTCTGTAAAAGGCTTTTGGAACACAACACTCAGAGGAATACATGGGAAATACAGGGGCTGCACAGAATGTTTGTGTTATAGAAAATGTTTCCAGATTTTAATAAAGATGATACTCTGAAACTATACTATGTCATCAAGGGATATTAGTGATGTTTTCGTCCACAGTTAGCTTTTGTTAATGATAGAAAAGGATTCTATCAGAGCGGTTGTATTATTTTTCAAACTGATATTCTACATCCCTGGAAGTTTAAGTAAACTGTTCAATACTATTCAAAAATAGATGAACACCAATATTTAATAATCTGATGAAGCAAGTCTTATATACAAGTCAAATACAACACAGAAGCATTCCTTTAATTTTAAAGTGCAAATAAAGTTTTGGGTTTTTTCCTGAATGTTAATCATGTAACTGCATCACATAGTAGTCGCGTGCCTTGCCATATTACAGAAGTCACCTTCGCTCATAGATTACAGTTAATGCAAACTATTCTTTCACCTCTTACATCACATGGAATGAGCCTTAAAATACTTCACTTACATTAACAGCCCCTGAAAGAGCTCTCTACTTCTTGTAGTTTGTACACCTTTTCAGCAAGGTAACGTGTGGTTCTGCAGTGCGCCCCGGGCTTTCACCAGTCTGCAAGTACCTCTCTGCCTCTCACTGCTCCAGTCCTTGGAGGGCTTCACGACAGGGCAGAAGAGAGGTCAGAGTAAGAGTGTACTAAAAAGCTACTCTAAAACCAAGATTTACCTTGCAGAAGTAGGTAGAAAGTTTTTTCTACTGGCAACACAATGAGATTACCTTGAAGAACCTCCAAACAGAGGGCTAACTAGCACTGGTTTCATTAGGAAGCCAGCTGAGGGCTAAGTCAAAGAGCAGCTGCTGTATTGCCAAAACTACTCTATATACTAGATGACAAAAAAAAAAAAGCTATTTCTAAAAGTCTGATTCGAACTCTATACAACCAAATGGCCTGTTAAAGATACAACACAGAAGCTACTGTCCCCCCCAAAATGATTTAAGGAGTTATAGACACTTTCAAACATTTCTCAGAGCTCACTAACCAAATTGAATAAACACACCCCAATATTCCAAATATTGGCCAGCAAAACTGTTTGCCTCCAGGACATGGAACTCCCCTGCTGCTACCACAGGATACATGCATCCACAGAACAAGACCGCATTTTTCTACTATTGCTCTACTAAGAACAGTTCAACAGAACAGAATACTCTGTAGTTCTTTTAAAAATGAATATACAAACCACAGGAGCAGTGGGAGGGAGATGTGGTCCTCAACTTCCTCCTGGCCACCCCTTCCATTAGGTTGGCATTTAGTTGTCAAGCTTCAACATTAGAAAAGCTTAGCACAGTCATTGCTCAGACATGAAAGAACATTTTAGGACATGTCCTAAATTTGGATTTTACTAAAACCTGCTTCTAAACAGAATTCTAAAGCTAAATCCTTTTAATCCCAAGACCTGATATAAAAAATGTCATGAACATGATAACCTGTGGACAACAGCAAACCTTATGGGCCTGTATATGGACTAGAATGTATGGATAATATCAGAAGGTTTGTACGACACGTAGCTGCATCCAGTAGCAGCGACCCAATCATCAAGAGTCTAATACCAGGTCTTAGCATGATTCAACTTCATATTATACCAAAGAGGCACACATGCACCCAGTCAGTTCGACTGGACAGTTTGTGCTTTGGAGAGAAAATATTAAAAAGTGTATTAAGCAAAAAAAGTCAAAGAAATTTATAAATGAGAATTTAGTTTCCACGTCTAAGTCTGAATATAGGTAATACACCCATCTAAAAGCTGATTCACCAGCCAGTCATTCAAATGCTAGTGAAGAATGCCATAATTTCCAAAAAACATTTAGATGCTGAAGCTCTTTAAGTTTGGAAGCAAATGTCAGCAAGACAAGCTGTTTCCCAACTAAAACATGATCTATTATAAATCTATTTATCTATTTATTTATCTATTAAAACATGATTATAGAGCATGTAACAAACCTTTAAAATAAACAGTGTTGTACTGTTTGTTTGCAGAAATAATATAAAACGTTTACTCTACATGTAAAGCTGTTTCCTGTTCCTTACTTTTAAATCAATATTTAAATAGCAATGTCATTGATACAAACTATGAATTTGATCAGAAGGCTCCAGTCACCTATTGTTATTTACTGATCTTTTAATTAGATGAATAAAACAAAACATATGCTAGCCATTATTTGCTTCCATTCAACCAGTCTCTATTAATTTGCCTTTTCATTACAGGCAGAGGCATTAATGAAAATAGTATTATTCTAGAATGCTTAATTAATCTTAATTAATGTTACAAATACACACTCATCTGAGCGCTCTCCTCCGTTCGCTATCTTCTCCTGCACTAATCGGTAGTCAACTTTTGCCATTTTGCGGTCCAGAAGGAAAAAATTACAGTAAATTACTAAATTCTACAAAAAGGTTGACATTGTCTAGAAAGCCTTTCTACATAAAGCGAATCAATTAAAAAGGAGCATGTAACAAAGGAAACAGGAAAAAGCTCCAGTGCCGACAGTTGCAATGGCAGAAATCGGATACACAAGAAGGAAAATAAAATCTGTGCTTATCAACCAAGCTCACATCTACATGACCACAGCTTTTCTAACTAATTTGTCACACACTTCTCTCCTAAACCTGATTAAGAGATATACAAGTTGATTGCGATCAGCAGAAAAAAATCAATAATGATTTACATTTTACAAGTGTAAAACAATTACAGGTTTAAAAGACAAAAAAGCCCCACTCAAACTAAAAGAACGACCAATGCAAGAGAAGTCTTCTTCTAAAGCACTACAAAAGCAAAACAGCTACAAAAAATACATTTTTTTAAGCACAGAAAAGAGCTGAAGATAAAACACAGAAAGGGGAAGATATGCTGTATTTTTCTCATTTCACAGTGTACTTTTTTTATACAGTATTAATGGGCATAGTTTCTTTCCCATCTCCCCGAGAACTCCTCAGAGTATATTCAAATTCTTCATCTGGAAAATAAAGGTCCACCCAATTCCAATAATCACCTCAGATTTTTGAGGATTTCAGGCAATTATAAAAACAGGATTAGTGAGATTTCAAATCATAGAATGGTTTGGGTCAGAAGGGACCTTCAAAGATCATCTAGTCCAACTCCCCTGCCATGGGCAGGGACATCTTTCACTACACCAGGTTGCTCAAAGCCCCATCCAGCCTGACCTTGAACACTTCCAGGGATGGGGCATCCAGAACTTCTCTGGGCAACCTGTAACACAACTTCTCTGGGCAACCTGTTCCAGTCATTGTAAAAAAGACTTCTTCCTTATGTCCAATCTAAATCTACCCTCTTTCAGTTTAAAGCCATTGCCCCTTGTCCTGTCACTACAGACCCTGGTAAAAAGCCCCTCTCCAGCTTTCTTGTAGGCCTCCTTTATATATTGAAAGGCTGCCATCAGGTCTCCCTGGAGCCTCCTCTTCTCCAGGCTGAACAAACCTGGAGGTGTTCCACATTCTTATAGAAAACTAAGTCCTAATCAATTCTAAGTGCATTGATCATAGTTTATGCTTCCTTATAATGGTATTTTATACCAGTCTGAATGGATACCTACCACCACAGCATTTATCTATGAGACAGTACTATTTATTGCAGGAATCTGTTTGGATTTGTTTCTCTAGCCAGCTTCTCTGAAAGCAGTGGGAGAGCATGCTCCTCGAACAAGATGCTCCCATACAATGCTGGCTGCTAGCAACACAAGAGAAGCTGCTATCCTAGGCAAAAATCACAATGAACTGATTTTTATAGTACTGGCTTGTGACAAAATGACATAACAGGAGTCAAATAAAACAATTAATAAGCTTGATTTCATTTGCAGAATAACATCTATGTGGCAAGAACATGCTAAAATTATAGATATCGATTACAGAATATGCTGCCATACTGCAGCAAAAGAACCAACCAAGTCTGAAACATACACACTACAATGCCTTGACCAGAGATACTTTATTTCAGAATTATCCAATATACGGGGGGGGGAGGAAGACCTATAATTCTATTCACCTGTTTAGCAGTAACTACTTAATCACCTTATAAAACCAGTTTTTCTATTCATAACCTAAATTCCACTGCAAAACCACAGACCATATTTCTTAACATGAAGTAACAAAAAAAGTCAGCTTTAAAAACAATTACATTTAAGGAACAAGAAGCATATATATGGCCCAAGAAGGAGAAGAAAGCAACTTGCTTTGGAAAGGCAATCATTTAGACTGCAGGCAGACAAGCTTCCATGTGTGAAAACCAAAACCCATCAAATTTTCAAATTTTAGACCTGTGTAATTTCCTTTTGGAGGCTGAAGCTTCTGGAAGAGGGACAAACTCTGCACGGGGTGTCAACGTTGTAGCATATACCCCAGGTGTCCAACAGCAGCTCTTACTTGGCAAGCTCTGCATGCC